TTTAAAAAAAAACTCATACTATTTTTATTGATGTTACGCCCGATTATTAAACTCAAATTAACATATATATATAAATATATAATGTATGAATAATAATACAAATAACTTACTTTAACAAGTTTAAGATCTGCTGGTGTTTTCTTGTTTTCATTATTATATTCTTGTGCTCTCTCTGACATGTCACGCAACCAAGATTTCAAATTTTGGCAAAAACTTGTGAAGTGTATTCCATGATCGATTGGCCATTTAAAATATTATTAGAGTCTTTAATATTATTTTGAATAGTCTCCCAATCCAATTTCAGTTTTTTATTTCTTCATTGAAACATGTTGACCTTCACTACCTGTATTCTTGATTACAGAGTTACTCAATTCTATTGTTTGATCTACACATTCCTTACCCGTGGTAGTGTTGAACGAATAGAATCTAAATTCTGATTTTTATCCAAATTTCTGTTTTTCTCCATGAGTGCTAGCGCATCTCTGTATATCTATCGAGCTTTTCGAATCCATTCATAAACATCATTAAATGCTTTCTTATAATTTTCATGTTCTTGAGCTTGAGCAGCCAATTTTAGCAATAGATTCCGTCACATGTTGAAGTAATTTTTCATATTTTATCCAAACATGGTTGTAAATTCCTTGGAATCCAAGGTATCATCATCTGCCAATTTAGATTTAATTCGTAGAATAAGCTCTGAATGTTACTAAATTCTCTTTGCAATGTACGATATTTTTCTAAAGCAGCCTTTTTCTCACTCAAATCATTTAAAAGCGATTCTTGAAGATTAATTTTGTTTTCGACTTCCTCTAACCACTCAGTAAGCTGTTTATGTAATTTGTGAATTTCTTCAAGCTGCGCCGCTCTGTTTGTAAGTTTTTGTTTCATGTCTTGTACATCAACCAATAATTTATCAAATTCTTGTTTAAGGTTTTCTGTATCTTCTTGAATTTTGGCAGCACCATTTTGTTCTGTGTTCATTATAACACGTTCTTTCAACTCTAGAGCATAGCGTAATTTATTTTGTCCTTGTTCTAGACTCTGTCGAATGTTTTTTTTTTAACCAAATTCAATTTACTATTAACTTCCTGCAGCGTTCCAGGGCATTCTTGACATTCATTAAGTTTGTCATGGGTTCTTTCACCCAGTCTTGGCACTCACATACAAAGTATTATGTGCTGATGCTCCTGGTAATGCAGTTCCAGCCGCCTCATGATCTCTTTTGCGAGAGACAGCAGAGCATTGTACTTAGTGGTGAGCTGGGTCACACCATTGCTAATCCTTGTGTCTGCACAAGTTTCGAGCAAAACTTGTGCTCTCATATTGAGACGATCCAGCTCACGTTGCCAGTCAAATAGCGTCTGCAGGTGTCCTTGGAACTGTTCCAGAAACGTTCTTTTTCTCCTCTAAGCTGTCCTGCAGTTTATTGAAGGACTGTACGAGGGCCTCAGTCTTCACCAACCAATCAGTGGCTTCTTTATTGATCTTCGTATTCTGTCCACTTAACAATACCTATTTCTAGTAAACCCTTAATGTTGTTAAGTGCCTCGCTAAAATATGAAAAACGTGAATTAGAAGTTTATGCAATGAGACATTTATAAAATACATCAAATTACAAAATAATTTCCATTCAAGCCATCAAATATTTCAGTACAAAATCATGAGGAAGGAAAAAAACATGTATAGATATTTATTCTATGACACAACAATAAATAGTCTTGCTTTTAAAAAAAATTAAAATTAAGATTTGTAATATTACACTTACACGTAGGTGTCATAATCCTCTTGTAGCAAAGCAACTTCTTCTTCAATGATGTCCTTGTCTTCGTCATCCGCTATCTGGCATGCAATATCCCCTTGTTCTAAAGCGTTTTCTAATTTCTTTTGACCTTCCGGTAGTTCGCTATTCAACACTTTTAATTGACTAGATTTGCTTGACAACGATTCCTTGTCGCCAGTGGGCTCTGAGCATTTTCCCAGTCTCTCTTAGATGCTCGAAGCCAGTGTACAAACTCGTTTGCGGCATCAATGAAAGCTTGTGCTTTCTACTGTATCTTTTTGTTTAGCATATAGATCTTTAGCTTGTTTACTCAAAGATTCATATTTATTTGATATTTCAGATGCCGGTGCTCCTTGCATTAGGTCTGATGCTTTTGATGTTACTGATTGTATCATCGGCTCGAATGAAACAATATCCTGCACTATGTTATTAGTTTTGTCGTAAGTTTGCTTTGCGTTCACCTAGACCGGAACTGAGACCCTGCTGGTTGTCCTTTTTTAGACTTAGCTACCTTTTGTTCGCACACTTGTTGGAGTTTAGCTTCTCTTTCTGTTATCCATTGTTGTAGTTGTGAATAACTTGAGCTATAATCAGCCCATTGCAAAAGACTTGTTTCCAAATGAACTTTTGCGGTAGATAATTTCTTCACTAATCTTTCCCAATCATTTTGTAAGTCGCGTAACTGATTGTGAATCACTTCTTTTCCATCAGATCTAGTATTACGAATTACTTTTTCGCCACAATTTACAGTAGCATGAACTAAGTTTTGACCTTCCTCCCTTCGTTGTAGTAAATCTTGAATTTTATTCAATTGAGATTGAAGTAAATCTTTTGAGCTAGCGCTTGAAGCTTCGCTACTATCTTTAATAATGTCTCTAGCATTTTCGATCCATTGTTGTGCCTTTTGCAAGTTTGTTTCATATTCCTTGTGTTGATCGTAATTAGTTTCAACTTTCTTTAGTATATCTTTGGCCAAATTAACTTGTACCTGGTATCGTGAATTTAAATGCCGTAATTGATTGTTGA